ATTGCGGTGCCGTGTGCGAATGCCGTGCATCGAATTCCGCTCTGTTTGGGGTCGAAGCGCTGTTTGGGGTCTAGCGCTGTTTGGGGTCCACGCACTGTTTGGGGTCCACGCCCAGTGTGTTTGGGGTTGGAGCAGTGTTTGGGTGCCGCACCCGACCAGGGCTAAAACAACACGCTCAACAGCACAACACCCGTGAATAGAACATTGTGGCTCAAGCTCGTGCACGTTCGACGCCGCACCCGCCGCCCTACCCAACGCTTTCGCCCAAGGCGTTCGCCCGAGGCAGGTGCGATGGTTGCGACTGAATACATTGCGGTGTCGGGCGCGACTACGGGCATGCTGAAGCTCAGCATCTACTTCGAGGAGCTGGCGTGTTTCGGGCCAGTGATTGCGGAGGTCGGTACCAACCTGTCGTGGTCCAGCGGCGTCGAGGTGAAGATGATCAAGGAGAGCATCAAACAAGACTACTCGGTGTACGCTGACTGGGATGCGGACATCTACATCTGCGAGGCTTCTCAAACCCACCCGACCGTGGCGAAGCACCCGCTGTGGGACGAGTACGTTGTCAACCCGTCCACGTATCGCACGATCAATCTCATCGCATCGAAGAGGTCATTGCTGGACCCTCATGCTGAGAGCATCGTTTCTGGCGTGAGCTGCGAGCCCGTCTGGACGTTCACGGTGAAGATTCAGGAGACGGGCGCGTGGGAGTTCATCAAAGTTCCTAACCCTGTGCTGGCTGGTCGCGGCGACTGTGTGTCGTGTGCCGTCCTGAAGACGTGGCTCGTGACCCAGCTGGCACTGCCGAACGGTTTCCAACTAATCAATGACGTGCGCATCTTCCGCAACGACAGCGGGTTGGCCAAGGGCGACCCCCTGGCGGACGATGATGACGTGTGGAAGAATCTCTGGTACTTCGCCATCGTCGACCCGAAGCTCGAGCCCCTCTGGGAGTACCCCGACCACAGCTCGCCCGACTCTCTGGCCAGGGGCTGGGACGACGTGCAGCCGACCACGGAGGCGACGCTCGAGGACGACCTAGACGGGCCGCAATGATTGCATGTGGTGAATGTTTCCCCAACGGCGTTTTTGCGCCTTTGCGCCACGGCTCTGCCGCGCGCGCCCTTGCCCAATGGGGGGGCATCATATTTTACAGCACAACAGGTCGGAGGCGGAGGTGAATACCAATAAAGTAGAAAGGGGATGAGGGATGAGGGATGAGGAGACGAGGAGGGAGAGGAAGAGGAACCATGATGAGGAAGGAGCCAGCCTCACAGGTGCCGACGGGCCAGTGCCATAGCTCAGGAGCGTGAATCCTGTGTACAGCTGTTTCATCGTTCAGACAGTTGTGGATTCCATGGCTCTTCTCGTCGTCTCATCTCCTCCTCATCCTCCTCCTCCTCCTCCCTCCTCCTCCTCCTCCTCTTGCCCATCCCCACCCTCTCAATACTATCCCATGGCGCCCAATATCTGAGGCGCCATCGCACCCGTCATCTGCGATGACGTGAGCGATGACGGGTGACCCCGCCCAACTGTCATCCACCCGCGCCCGCGTGATGCGCGGGCTGGCGCGCGTCGGTGCGGGGTCGCCCGTCGTCGCCCACGTCGGTTCGCACATTGCGGGTGCGACGGCGTCAAGTGTAGCGTGTGTCTCACGTGCACGATTGCACCACATAGATTGCACCACATAGATTGCACCACCGAGTACATAACAATATATCCAGATGACGCCGTTTGGGGTCCAGACTGGCTGCAACACAATACGCTCAAGTCTTGGTTGATCTACCCGACGCCCTACGTCGACACCCTACCCGACGCCATGCGTCGACGCATGTGGCGCATTCAAACCCTTAACCCTAAACCCTGAACCTTCAGACCCTGGATAAGAACATGCGACTGGCAACTGATGATGATGATGTTAATGCTGATGATGTTGCTGATGCTGTTGCTGATGATGCTGGTGATGATGATGACCTTCCAATCTTCTGCGCTACCTTCAAGTGCTTGTATCAGGTTAAAGCGAGTGCCAGAAGAACGCAAAGACATTCTGAGACATCGCTCCTTCTCTCCTGTTCCCGCCGCCATCACAGCCTTCACCCTCATCATCATCAGCATCATCATCCTCATCATCAGCATCAGCATCATCATCATCAGCATCATCATCAGCATCATCATCACCATTATCACCATTATCACCATCACCACCACCACCATCACCATCACGTCACGATCATCGCCAGTATTGCACCAGAGTGCTTTACTGCTACTGCATCTCTAGGACGCATCTTCTTACTTAGCTTGTCGTTGAGGACCTGTCTGGGGGATGCGGGGAGGAGCGAGGGGTTGAGGAGGTCGCTCGCTCCGCCCCGCATCCCCCAGACAGGTCCTCAACGACCAGCTAATTAAGAAAATGCGTCCTAGAGATGCAGTGCGCAGTAAAGCACTCGAATGCAATACTGGCGATGATCGTGACGTGATGGTGATGGTGATGGTGATGGTGCTGATGATGCTGATGCTGATGCTGATGCTGATGCTGATGCTGATGATGATGATGATGATGATGAGGATGATGATGATGATGATGATGATGATGATGATGATGATGATGATGATGATGAGGATGATGATGAGGGTGAAGGCTGTGATGGCGGCGGAAACAAGAGAGAAGGAGCGGTGTCTCAGAATGTCTTTGCGTTTTTCGGGAACTCGCTGGAACCTCAAACAATTCGTTATAACCATTGTAAACCTTACGCAATTCAAGATAACTCAGCGTTTGAGGTAGCGCAAGAGGGTGGAAGGTCAGCACGGAAGGTCTGGAAGAATGAGAGGGAGGGTTAGCCATCGATGCTCGCCCTTTTCGTCATCGAGCGTACCCCCTTTGGGAGTATACCTCTCTTGCCTGCCGCGTGTCACTGGCGCGCCCCCCCAAATAGGAGGAGCAGGATGGGAAAAAGGAAAAGGACGAGGAGGAGGAGGAGGAGGAGGAGGAGGACGAGGACGAGGGGAGAGAAGAGAGGAGAGAGGACAGGGAGACAGCGAGGAGAAGAGGAGGAAGAGATAACGGAGGGGGGCCAAGAGGAAAGGAGGAGGCGTGAGGGCGAAGAAGATGTAGCAGGAGGGGGAGACAGAGGATTAATTAATAAACCTGGCTACAATACCCTGACGGGCGGGCCGGACACGACGGGCGGGGCATTCAAGCGGGCGGACTGGCTTCCAAGCGACGACCCTGACCGGCATGTCGGGCGGACGGACCCCGACGGGCGGATCGGGCGGGCGGACCCGAACGGGCGGGTCGGGTGGGACGTTGAAGCGGACGGGCGGGCTTCAGGCCAGTGACCGGCAGATGAATGGGACGGTGGTCAATGCAAACGGGGGTCAGCCAGAGCGCCCGATCTTGTAGGGTCCTGCAGGACCAGGGTCGTATTGACACGGGTTTGGGTGCAGGACCTTGCAGGATCTTCCAGGATCTTTCACATTGACCCTGGTTTGGGTGCAGGAGCTTGCAGGATCTCGCAGGATTCTGCAAGTCATGATTGACCCGGATCTGGATTGACCCGGGTCAGAAGATCCCCGAAAACGGGCGCCGACATTCCAGTTTGAGGCTCAATATTTCCCCTGATAGAGAACAGGGGGCGGGCCCGGGGGGGGGGGGGACTTGAATTAAAACATGAATGGGCACTGGGCGGGTGAGATCAAGTATAATCATCTAGTAGCCTTCGGCCCATCCCGCCACGGTGCCCGGGTTGTGGGTCAGAGTCCTCATGGATGCTTCTTGGAGTCTGGGGTCTCTTCGGAGGGCTCTCGGTGGCCGCTGGGGGGCAGTTTTGACGCCTTGGGGGCCTCTTGGTGGGCCTCCTGGGAGCCTCTTGGGGGTCTCCTTGGGGGCCTCCTGGGGGCCTCTTGGGGGCCTCGTGGGGGGCCTCTTGGGGCGGAGGCCTCGATATGTTGGTTCGTGTTCCCCCCTCTGGGCTCCCTCTTGGGGTGTTCTTGGGCCCTCTTGAGCCGTCTTGGCCGCCTCTTGGGCCGTCTTCGGGGTCTCGTGGGCCGTCTCGGCACCCTTTTCGGGGACTTCGTGAGCCGTCTTGGGGGGGGATCTTGGGGCTTCATGGGCCGGCCTGGAGCGTCGGGAGCCCGAAAAGGCGGAAGGAAGCACCACAATCTTTCAAAAAATCGACGTGCCATCAAGGACGCTTCCTTCATGGGGTCATCTTGGGAGTGCTCTTGGAGGCCTTTTGGGCCGTCTCCGAGGCCTCTTGGGCCGTTGGAGGCCATCTTGGGCGTCTTGGAGTGATCTTTCGGCGAATCGGAACCACCTTGGAGGCATCAGAGGTCTTGGAAGGTCGTTTCGGGCGGGCACAGCGCCCAGTGGACTGGCAGGAAACACCCCAGAACTCAGGGGATAAACCCCAGAAGACCCCGGAAGACCCCAGGACGGCCCAGAACTCCGAAGTTCCAAGCCCTAAAAGAAACTACACTCCTGGCAGCAGCAGCGGCACGAGATTGGAGGCAGCGACGGCGTCGACGACGGTGTCGACGACGGCGAAGATCCGAGCACAATAAAGAGCCACAACCGCAACTAGGCGGAAATTTCGGGAGGGCCCCTCGGGGGAGAACCCACCGACCTCGGCATGCACCTTGGTTGGGGTTGTGAGCGATTCGGCAGTCCTGGGACGCCAGACCGGCCACCAACCGGTACGAAGCTGGTTTCGGTGCTCCGCCAATTCTTGGAATGCGCGAGACATAAAACGACGCGAAGATCGGGACAAAATCGGATCGGGATAACTCGAAATCTCTGAGAATCGGCGGGTTTGGAGGATGTATTGGGCGCCGCGGCCGCTCCAGAGCGTTCCGGAACGCTCTGAGAGCGCTCCGGAACGCTCTGGAGCGATTTATCCCGATCCTAGCCCTGTTTTAAGACATCCCCCAGAGTGTGTCCTCGCTGTGGTTGTGGTTGCCTGCTGCCCCCGCCGACGGCAGCGGCGGCGACCAGCGTGGCGCAGGTCGTTCAGGACATCCGCGCCGGTCGAGCCCTGAGCAAGGAGCCCGCAGACGTGAGGGCGAGCGTGCAGACTGCCTACGACGACCCGTCGGAGGACCAGTCGACTCCTCCTCCTCCTCCTCCTCCTCCTCCTCCCTTTCCTCCCTTTCCTCCTCCTCCTCCTCCTCCTCCTCCTCCTCCTCCTCCTCCTCCTCCCTCTCCCCTTCCTCCTCCTCCTTCTCCTCCACGACGACGGCGGCGACGACGACCCAGACATGCCAGTGCCGTGATAACAACACGGCGGAAGGTTTGTCGCCGTGTTCGGCTTTCCAGGACCCTCGCCGCGCCTCGGGGCCGTCAACAAAGCGACTCGGGAGGAAAAGCCAGTCCTGGGGAAGGGGTCGAGACTTCATGGCACCCCGTAGTTCGGCGGCGAGCCCAGGGGGGAAGTGAGAAGGGGGCTTCTCAGAAGGCTCGGGAGTCCCCGCTCCAAAGCCTTCCTCGAAGACACAGAACACTTCTCAGGAGGCGCGAGGGCTTCTGAGGACTCCCGCCGCCTTCTGAGTAGGCCTGCTCCTTCTCCCTTCCCCCCCCCTCGCTCGCCGCCGAGTATTGGAAAACTCAAGACGTCGCATGTCTGGGGGTCCTGTGCTCGTGGGAAAGGAAAGGCCTTTCGCCCGGGTGTCCTGTTGGCTGCGCGTGGCCTTCGGGGGGGGGGAGAGCGCGGGGCGGCCGAGCCCGACCATGCAGGCCTGTCGCATCGCTTGCAACGATCCTCGGGCCGCGCACCACAGGCCTGCGATGCTCAGACTGTGCGCGCATCGGGGGCTCGAGAAGGGGGCGGGGGCTGATACAAACGGGGGCCAGCCAGAGCGCGGGATCTTGCAGGATCCTGCGGAGCTGGGTCTGCACTGACCGGGGCTTGGTCAGTCAGGATCCCGCAGCATCCTGGCAGTATATCCTGACTGACCTGGGTCTGGGTTGAGCCAGGTCAGCAGAGCCCCGAGCGTACCCTGACCTTCCAGGAGGGCTAAAAAATAGCACCCGACCTACAAACCTTATCCTAGAGCTATTCTACGTCTTGGTTTTAGGCTCTTTCGCTCCGATTTTTGGGTTTTTAGGCTTCCAGTGCTAAAAAATAGCTCTCTGGAAGGTCAGGGTAGCTGGGGGCTCGACGCGACCTTCGAGGCGGAGAGCGGGCCGGCCTGCGCAGGCAGGCGGCGGGGCCTTCTGAGAAGGCCCGCCCCCTCTCTCCTCCTCCTCCTCCTCCTCCTCCTCCTCCTCCTCCTCCTCCTCCTCCTCCTCCTCCTCCTCCTCCTCCTCCTCCTCCTCCTCCTCCTCCTCCTCCTCCTCCTCCTCCTCAGGCGGCGGGGCCTTCTGAGCAGGCCCCGCCCCCTCTCTGCCTCCCCCCGCTCTGGGCGCGCCGCCGGCATTGCGGAGCTGCAGGCGCGCGCAGGCAGGCAGCGGCGATCCCCTTGATCGGCCTCGAGGCGCCCACCCTCTATACATACTCCTCCCCTTCCTCTCCTCCTCCTCCTCCTCCTGCTCCTCCTCCTCCGCCTCCTCCTCCGCCTCCGCCTCTCCTCCTCCTCTGCCTCCTCCTCCTCCGCCTCCTCCGCCTCCTCCGCCTCCTCCTCCTCCTCCTGGGCGCGCCACCGAGCATCGTTGCCACGCCATGCGGCGCATGATTGCGAGCACATTTCCGCATGATTTGCAGCAGTCGTCAATGCATGCATGTTTGTTGCGCCACCCTGAACCGCCGAGGCTCGAATCTCGAAGTCATCTTCTGATGTTCCAACCTACTTCAGCCTTGATCACCAGAAAGAATCTCGAGCACCAAGAAAGTACCGAAACTTGACGGCTTGCACGTGTCCTGGGAGGCGACACTCGTTCGACACTGTCTCGATACTTTTCTGGGTGCTCGAAATTGTTTCTGGGATGGGGTCCTTTAGTACGATGGGGGCAAAATAAAAGTCAGTCGACACATGTTCAATATAGAGCCAGGCAGAGGAACAAAAACGTGCAATCACAGCTTGAGAGCTATTTGGTTTCATCGGGCCCGCGCCCTGCCGGCGCCCAGCCGCCGAGTAACGTTTCTCCCTCGTGCGGATGACACAGGCTGGGACCACCCGCCAGCCTGGGAGTATGTGTGCTGCTTCGCATGTCGCTGCGCACAGACAAACCTCACGCCGATCCCTCTCCCATCATCTTCACCGCCGCCGACGCCGTCGCCGCCGCCATCGTCGTTCTTCTTCGCCGCCGCCGCCGCTGTCGTCTCCGCTGCCGCTGGGCCAGCCGTGGCTTCCTGTCCCGTGGCATCGCTCGGACGTGTGCACTGTGTACTCGGCGAGGACCATCGAGGAGCATCTCTTGGATCCCCTTCGAAACACGCACGCACGAACTCGAAACGCACGCGGGAAATGGACGTCCGAGCGATGGCAAGCCCCCCCGCCCGCGAGGATTGGGCCGGCTGGCGCGCCACCGTTCCGCGGACGTGCGCGCATCCCGCCCGCGCCGCTGGCCGCTGCCGCTGGCCGCTGCCGCTCCGCTGCCGCTCCGCTGCCGCTCCGCTGCGGCCGACGCGGGGCTCCCGATGGAACCGGAGGCTGCCAGGGCCCGGCCTGTGGCCGGGGTTTGGCCCCTCCCTTGGCCGCCTGGCCCTGAGATCCTGGCGCCGCAGTTTTTCCGCGCCGGGCGTGTTCGAATAGTTTCGGGTCCCGAGACCCTCGCAGATGAATTCAGCTCGAAGAGAGCCTTTTTTTGAGATTCATTGGCTTGCGCCGCACCGCCGACCCCTCGGGGCGGCAGCAAGAGTGAAAGACAGAATTCGCGGAACGCGCGCGATCGCTGGGCAATCTTGGGGCTTCGGCCTGTCCTACGTAGCGTGTGGGTTTCAAGGGGGGGGTCTGGTAGGGGATTGTTTTGAAGTTTTTCGTGGTCTTATGTGAGTTTCTTCGGGCCTTCATGGGGCCTGTCCCAGGCCTCCTTTTCCACCTCCTGGATAGGCTTAGGCTCGGGGGTCGTTGAGACCCAGCTGGGGTTGCCTCCGGCCAGAAGTTCGAGAGTGGACCCAGCTGTGTCGACGAGGAGCTTCCTTAAGGCCCAGATAGGGCGGAGAGCGCCCAAGAACTAGGAGTCTCATGCCTCGAGCCTCGATCCACCCCGTGTTCCTTCCTTTGCGAAGGGGTGGCGCCGGCCAGGGAGGTCGATCCTCATCCTGGACTTTCGGCGGTGGTCCCCGGCACCGAAAACGGTTCCCAGGGGTTGAATTCGGGGAGATGCCTCGGGTGGTCAGAAGACCACGAAAATCTGTGAGACATCGGCGGCGACGACGAAATCTTATTTATTTGTTTTTTCCTCTTCCTCCTCCTTTTCCTCTTCCTCGTCCGTCTCCTCTTATTCTCGATCGAGGTAGATGCCCGCGAAATTCGTGTGTGTGTATATATATATATATATATGTGTATAGTGGCCTTCGACCCATCCCGCCACCGTGCATTGGTTGTCGGCCTGAGATCCTTGGTGCCTGGGTCTGCGGGTTAGAAATTTACATGTCTCAACTGGTACTTGGGGCTTCTTTTGAGCTTCTTGGGGGCCGTTTGGGGAATCTCGGGGGGCCTCTTGGGGGCCTCATGGGCCCTGTTGGGCGCCTCTTGGGCCCCCCTGGGGCCGTTTTGGGGCGGAAGGCTCGGATTGTTGGTTCAGGCTCCCCCTCTTGGGCCCCTCTTTGGGCCGTCTTGGGGCACTCTTGGGCCGTATTCGGAGCCTCTTGTGCCGTCTTGGCGCCCTCTTGGGCCGTTCCGAGCGCCTCTTGGGGGCCTCTTGGGTCGTTTTGGGGCGGTCTTGGGGGACTCTGGGACTGTCTTCAACGCCGTGAAGGCCGAAACGTCGTGCTGAAAATGCAGCTTGCCCGCAGGAATTCGACGATTTGGCCTCTGGGGCCCCTCTTGGGAATGCTCTTGGAGGCTTCCTGGGCCGTCTGGGGGGCTTCTGGGCCCGTCTTTGGCCCATCCTGGGCGTCTTGGGCCGACCTTGGGCGTCTCGGGGGCCTCTTGGGCCGTCGTGGGGGCTGCTTGGAGCCCTCTAGGGCCTCTTGGGGCCTGATGGCACCTTTGCCCCCCCCTCCCCCCCTCCCCCTTCCAAACTGGCCAGACCGGGCTCCCGGGGGAGTGGTTTGGGGAGGAAGCAGCATCTCACACGCGGTGACCCCAAAGGGTCGGCGGATTCATGCAAGTTTACTTGCATGGCGTTCGACCCCCCCCCCCCCCGCCTCTTCAAACGAATACTAGCGTAAATGTGCCTTTCGACTTGCGTGATTTCCGCACGTGCATGTCGTTTGCGGCTTGCTTCAGGTTCAGCACCCCCCTCCCCCTCCATGCAAGTAAACTTGCCGGGGTCTAAACTGAAACAGGCTCCTAGTTTCGGGCCCTGGGACCCTCACAGATGGATTCAGCTCGAAGAGTGGCGCAGAGACATGGGGTCCGGGGCTCCGGTCGCGATTTTTCGCGATGTAGCATTGTTTCGGGACGTCGGATCTCAGGGGAGTGTGTCCATGGGGGGAGTTCCACAAAAAGGCCTTGCCTGCGAGGATCGAAGGAGCTGTCATATCTTCCGCGGCGGAAGGCGCCAGAAGGTCGGCGGAATTAAAACGAGGGCGGCTGCGCTGGCGGAAGCAACATTTTTGGGTTCAGGGTTTCCAGAACTCGCCACATATCCACCGCTTCGGAGTCTCAGAGCAGGGCGAGTTGGCCTTCCTGGTGCCCCCCTCGACGCCACGGCTGGGCGCAGCTTCAGACTGGTGCGCATTTGGTCCCCAGGATGCGTCCGGGGGCGGTTCTTACGCGATGCCATCGTCTCATGTCGCCCTGCTCCGAGAGTCGTGCCCTGGGATCTCGAGGAGTGGCGGATCTGGACATCTGCCCGCCCGCGGGTCCCAGCAGACATCCGTGCAGCCAGCGCTCCCCGCGTCCTCGGGGTACGACCTCGCCGGCATGTCGTGGGGAGTGGACATCTTCTGGCGGCACGCCCACAGCCTCCCGCGCCATCTCTGGGCCCCTCGGGCCCTCTGAGCCTCGCGAGGGGGGCTTGGCTGCCCCAGGGGTCACCCCTGGGCAGAGCTGTGGGGCCACCCTGTGGGCCAGGGCCACCTCCCCAGAGATGCAACGTCGCGAACAGAAGCACACGCGTGAAGCACCTCGTCTGGAGCTCCGGACCCCCTTGTTCTGCTCAACCTTTCGAGCTGGATCGTGAGGGTCCTGGGCCCCGAAACTGGGCGAACAAAGCCAGTTCGAAACAAGGGGGGGTGCTCCTTTTAGCCCTGCCCCACCAAGAGGCCAAAATGGAGCCCAAACCAAAGTTAAACCAATGATTCTGGCCTTCCTCGCCGAGGCCGTTTTGGGCGTTCTAACTTCCCGCGACCGTCCCCGTCCAGGTCCAGAGGAGGTAGGGGGGAGGGGTAAACCCTTCCCCGAAGGGAAAGACGGGGGGTGGAAGAGGAAATTCCCTAAACCACCTTCGCCCAGAGGGCTGGTGGGAGTTGTCCGAGACGGCGGGTTTCAGGGGAGGGGGAAGCTGAGCCGGAAGGAGGGGGAATGAGAGAGACCCATACATCCGCCGATGTTTTTTTTTTGTTCAATCCGCGGCCCCTGAGAGGTCTCGAGCGCTTTCCCACGGGTAGTGCTTCGCCCCGGATCCGCTTTTTGAGGGTCCCTGGCCTGGATCCAGGCGTCGACACGCTGGCCCGATCGGGCCGGAATCAGGGACCCGCGCCGAGGTTGAACAAAAGCCACGTCGTCGGAGATTCAGGGAGGGGAGGAGTCGGGGGTGGACAGACCTCCTACCCTCACACGTCGATTAGTGAATTGTCCGTTCTCGGTTCTCGAGGGGGCGCCGCGGCCGTTGTTTTCCAGGCTTGCGCCCGCCAGCTTTGGGCCCGAGGCCGCTGTCACCAAACCACGTTTTACTACAGGGAGGTCTGTCCATCCCCGAAGGAGGGGGCGGCGGCACCTTCCGCGCGGAAGGCTCGGAAGGTGCAGGTCGAGGGGAACGGAGGAGGAGGAGAGGAGGAGGAGGAGGTGGAAGGAGGAGGGAGGAGGAGCAGGAGCAGGAGCAGGCGGTGAGCCGCTCAGCCTTCGGAGGCCGCCTCCCCTCCTCGCTCTCCGTGGCCGCCTGGGCTCGGCCCGGGGGGCCCCCGATGGGCCCCGCGGGGGCGGCGCGCGCCCGCGGGCGAGGGCCCGCCGCCGCGGCTGCCGCATGGCGCCAGCATGCCGGGTCCGAGCGCGCCCCCGCCGCTCCCCTCCCACTCCTCCTCCTCCTCCTCCTCCTCCTCCTCCTCCTCCTGCTCCTCCTCCTCCTCCTCCTCCTCCCCCTCCTCCTCTCCCCCTCCTCCTCCTCCTCCTCTTCCGCCTCCTCCTCCTCCTCCTCTCCGCCTCCTCCTCCTCCTCCTCCTCCTCCTCCTCCTCCTCCTCCGCCTCCTCCTCCTCCTCCTGCTCCCCCTCCTCCTCCTCCGCCTCCTCCTCCTCCTCCTCCCCCGCCTCCTCCTCCTCCTCCTCCTCCTGCTCCTCCTCCTCCTCCTCCTCCTCCCAGCATGCCGGTTCCGGGGCAGGAGCACGGCGACGAAACGACGGTCGCAACTTGAAGCTCGCTGAGGGGCAGCGGACGCGATCTGTGTTTCTGGGGCGACGGGGGAGAGGGCAGTGCTTCTGTAGGGCAGGAGCAGGGATGAGCAGCCGAATCGTGGGCAAGAGCAAACCTGAGATCAGAGCTTCTCGCGAAGGGCGGCGGTAAGGATTGCTGTTGACCGATCAAGCGCGCCCGCCGAGCGTACGGGGATCTGGCCCTGGAAACAACGCTGCCCCCCCCAGCGACCTTCAAGTTGCAACCACCACCGCGCACAAGGCGTTCCCGACGATCCGACGTTTGAGTGAGTTTGCGGGGGAAAAAAAACCAACAACATCTGAATTGGAGCAGGCGGCTTTGGGCAGTTTTCGGCCGCCGGGGGCCCTGGCCGGGCTTCGGGAGCGTCAACATGCGATTCAGGATGCAAAACCGGCCCTAGAAAAGTGCTCCGGACCTCCAGGGCACACGCATCGAAAAATTTGGAGCAGCTGGATGTCTGGGTTGGAAGAGATTTCTGGCAATCTTCGGCATCTAGGGTCCTCACCCGGCCCCAGGGCAGACAAGACATCATCCGGGATGACAAGCCGTCTTTGCATAGGGGCAAGGGTCGAGATTTTGGGGACCCCACACTGAACAGAAATCGAGACCTCGGATGTCTGGGGAGCGCGATTGCAAGCTTCCCCTTTGATCCCTGAAGGTGTTCCTGGCCGAGAGCAATGCGGTGGTGTCTTGACTCGTCTCGAATGGCCGCCGGAGACCCGAATCATGACCCGGAGGCTACATGTGAGAGCGACTCGTCTTCCCTGCCGCAGTGACCATTGGTGCGTTGCTTCCGGGGGACGCAGGGGGCCAACCAGAGCGCGGCGGCCGTTGTTGGCGCATCGCATGCAGCGATGGGCAAGCCGCGCACCAAAGGTCACCCCTTGCCTGTCGTCGATGCCGGGTCGCGTGTTGGCGGCAGCGGGTCGGGCGAGGGGGGTGTTTTGGACACCGGGGGTTACGACATCGTTTCTCTCTCTAACTCTACATGGTTCCTCCTGGCCGGCGCCGGTTGGCGAGGGAAAAACCAGCTGTACGCATTAAGATTCGCTGCCCCACCTTTGCTACAGTGGGGGGCCCATGCCAAGAAACTCCTTGCTTGCCTCCAGGGTGCCCTGGGTTTCTTGGGGTTCGATGGTCTTGCCATGGAAATCCTGGAGTTCCCACACCAAAAATCGATGGACGGGGTCTCGGGGCTGGGTTTCTTGTGGAAGGCTTCTTGTAGTCGGGCCCCCACTGTATCCCCCCCTTCGCCCGCACAGGGTGTTCAGGGAAGCGTCCCCGTCGCGAGATGCCCCCCCCTTTCGGCGTTTCGGAGGCCACGCGGGCGCTCCAGAAAGAGCCCCCACCTCCCAGAGAGAGCTCAGGAGGCTAAGTTGGGCAGGGAGCCAGGTCGGGATGATGATGATGATGATGATGATGATGATGATGATGATGATGATGATGATGATGATGAGGAGGAGGAGGAGGAGGAGGAGGAGGAGGATTGTGATGATGGTGGTGATAATGATATTTGATGTTTGATGTTTGATGTTCGATGATGATGATGATGCTGACGATGATGATGATGATGATGATGATGATGATGATGATGATGATGATGATGATGATGATGATGATGATGATGATGATGATGATGATGATGATGATGATGATGATGAATATGCTGATGATGCTGATGATGATGGTGATGATGAAGGGCCAGACCCTGGATATAGGCGTCCAGTGGAAGCTTTGACAACAGCTGGGCCGCTAGGTGTCTGGGGTGGGCACCTGCCCGCCCGCTGGCTGCTCACTCGTCGCCTTGCGTGGCCTGGCCTCCTCGGGTCTGGGCCCCACGCGGCGTGTGCGGGTGGACGGGGAGGGAGCCGCAGGGGGAACGTTTCCCAGAGCTGACCAGGTGTTGCGCACCGTCGGTGCGTATGTATGTGTAGATACGCACTGCACAGATGTCAGCACGTATCAGAATGATGGGGGCCGAACGGTCATTCACTGTCCCTGGGTGCGTGGCTGAAGTGAGGTTGCGCAGTGAGGTTTGCTGCTGTTGTTGTTGTTGTTGTTGCTGTTGTTGCTGTTGTTGTTGTTGTTGTTGTTGTTGTTGTTGTTCTTGGTGGTGGTGGTGGTGGTTGTTGCTGGCGTTCGCCAATCAGAGCTTGCCTCTGTAGGGGTCGTAGCGGATTCATACGGTTAGGTGAGACATGGCGCCGATTTCGGCGGCACGCCAGGGTGCCCAGGTGCCCAGGTGCCTGGTTGCCCTATAGCCTTATAGCTTTATAGCCTTATAGCCCTGTAGCCCTATAGCCCTATAACCCAAAAGCCCTATAGCCCTGTAGCCCTAATAGCCCTGTAGCCCTATATCTAATAGCTCTATGGCCCTATAGCCTTATAGCCCTATGGCCCCATAGCCCCATAGCCCTACAGCCCTCATAAGAGTGTGAGTGTGGCTTTTCTCTGGTATCATTGTTGTTGTTATTGTTCTTGCTGTTGCTGTTGTTGTTGTTGCTGCTGTTGTTGTTGAACCCTTACCAATGAAGAAAATGATTGTTGATCCTCCCTCCTCCGGTAACATATGTGTTTGAAGTGCTCTTTGCGGGGCTCGCACCCTGTTTTTTTGTATCAGGGTAAGTCTCCCTCCTCAAACTGCCCCCTTGGCCCCCGAACTACAACAACAACAACAACGGCTCCCGCTTGATATTTCTCACAAATTATTCCCAAATCGCGCTCTGGCGCGGGACCTCTCACGAATTATTTAGGAATCGCGATCTCGCGTGGGACTTCCTCGCAATTTATTCAGACGCCGCGTCCTGGACAGTCAGGAGTCACGCTCTCGCTGTGGATTTACCCACGAATGATTTGGGAATCGAGCTGTCGCTCGAGACTTCCTCGCGATTCATGCAGGACGCACGCTTCAGCAACCCGCCTGCTCGAACTGGCCGCGTGTTCCCGCCTTCCCGCCTGGTCGGTTCTACCCGCCCGATTTGCCCGTCTGGTTCTGCCACGTGCTTTCTGCTCCTAGCCCCCCTCCTGCTACTCTCTCTCGTGCTCCATCCTCCTCCCTCCCCCGTGTCCCTTCCTTCCATCCGTCCTCTCTTCCCCTGCCTCAGGGGCTGCACGAAGTACACGTTGCAGGTATGAAAATGTACCCCCAATGGGGGCACGGTCGACGACGAAGAGGGCGGGTATCGAGGGTTCGGGATATACGTGTTGAGTGGCACGCGAGCAGATAAGAGCGAACAGTCTTGACAGGATTGTTGTTGTTGTTGCTGTTGTTGTTGCTGCTGAATTCTCATTTCTAAAGAATCAAACTGATTGATCTCCCCCCTCCGGTAACCATTGCATTAGCAATTTAAATGCCCCCCTCGGGGGTCGCACTTGGTTTCTTGTATCAGGGAAAGCTTGGTATCACCAAACTGTGTTCTTGGGCCCCGAACTACAACAACGACAACGGCTCCCGCCTGATACTTCCTCACAAGTTATTTCAAAATCGCGCTCTCGCCAGAAGTTCCTCATAATGTATGCAGGAATCGCGCTCTTGGGTGGAACTTCCTCGCAACTCATTAAGACGCCGCGCCCTCGACACAGGAATCACGCTCTCGCTTTGGCTTTTCTCGCGGTTTACTTGGGAATCGCGCCATCTCTCGTGACTTCTTTGCGATCCATGTAGGACGCACGCTTCAGCAACCCGCCTTCTCGACCTGGCCGCGTGTTCCCGCCTTCCCGACCCACCGGTTAGGGTCTACCCGCCCGATGTCCCTGTCTGTTTTTGCCACGCGCTTTTTGCTCCTAGCCCCCCTTCTGCCAATCCCCCGTGCTCCATTCTCCCCCCTCCCCCTTTCCGTCTGTCCTCATTTCCCTTGTTTCAAGGGCTGCACGCGGCAGGTAAGAAAGATACACCCCCAAGGGGGTACGATCAAAGACGAACAGGGCGGGTATCGAGGGTTTGGGATGTACGTGTTGAATGGCACGCGAGCGGATAAGAGCCAACAGTCTGAAAATGATTATTGTTGTTGTGGTTGTGGTTGTGGTTGTGGTTGTGGTTGTGGTTGTGGTTGTGGTTGGTGGTTGCGGTTGTTGTTGTTGTTGTTGTTGTGGTTGTGGTTGTGGTTGTGGTTGTCGTTGTCTTTTTTCGTTGTCGTTATCGATGTTGTTGTTGGTGGTGGTGGTGATATTGTTGTGTTGTCGCTGTTGCTGTTGCTGCTGTTGAACTCGCTAATTATTGACACATAAGTATTGTTGATCCTCCACTTCGGGGCACACTGTTTGTTCCAGTGAAGTGCCATTCCCAGAGCTCGCACCCTGTTTTTTTTCACCAGGGTAAGTCTTGAGTCCCAGAATTGGGTTGTAGGCCCCCGGTTAACAACAACAGCAACAATCATTGTAAGATTGCTCGCTATTTCTGCTCGCGTGTCATTCAATATGCATATCCCAAACCCTGGATACCCGCCCTCTTCGTCTTCGATCGTACCCCCAAAATGGGTAGATTCATTCCCTGCCACGTGTGGTTGGTGAAGCCCTTGAAAACGAAAGGTAACAGATAACGGGGGAGAATGAGGACGAAGGGATCGGAGGAAGGGAGGGGAGGGGCGACAAGCAGGGAGGGCGATCATTTGCGCTGCGAGTGGCGATTCAGCTTGCGCCACGGCTTGCGCCAGCCACTCCAACACAGGTTAACAATAAGTTCCGCCATGGGTCGCGCCATAAACAGCGCCACGTACCACCCCCTTGAAAGAACATATCGTGGATACCCCCACGGGGGGACGTACAGCATCCCCCAGGATGGGGATGGTTATGATGATGGTCGCATGCTTCGCGCAGAAACATCGCGCGTGATGGTGATTGTTGTTGTTGTTGTTGTTGTTGTTGTTGTTGTTGTTGTTGTTGATATTGCCATAGTTGTTGTTATTGGTTTTGTTGTTGTTTTTGCAATTGAATTGTTGTTGCTGGGTTGGTGTTGTTGGTGTTGTGGGTGTTGATGTTGAATGTTGTTGTTGAAATGTCGGGCAGGCGCAGAACTACACCTTGGGCGAGTGGATTAGCTTCTTGCGCGGATCCCCACATTCCAAACTTACTTTTGCGACATCGTCTTGCGTATTGGTTCGCCCGCCATGCGAGGGGCCGATCGCGCCTGTCGGATTTCCCGGGGCCTCGACTTCGATTGCCAGTGTCAGTGTGCAATCAAGACTTGCGCCCCACGAGCGGATTGGAGGATGAGCGCAAGGTGAGTCTTTCAGCTGCGGGGGGGCGCGGGCGTTTGCCGCCGCGCAGGGGCCAGGGGCAATTTGGAAACGCTCAGGGAAATGGAGGGCGGCAGGTAGAGGAAGAACGGGGGAGGCGGAGGGCAAATCAGCGGGCGGGAATGGGGCACATAGTGACCAGGCGAGCTGCTCCGATAGGGGGGGCGATGTGGGCGGAGGCCGCGGGTGGAATTCCCTCGGGAAGCCCCAGGACGTTCAGACACTTCCGCCCGGAGGCCGGCAGGGGGTTCAGCGGCCCTTGCCTTCCTGACTCTGCGGGCGGGGCGCGGCGACGCACCCGACCTGTACCCCGCCCCTTTCGCTAGGTGCCGGTCTGCACGTGTTCGCCCCGCGCGATACATCCAGCATGTTCAGAACTACACGTAGCCAGGCACTAGGTGTAGTTCTGTACGTACTGGGCTCGCCGGAGACATCCTCACAAAACAGAGCACTTATAGAACTACACCTAGCCA